GGTGGGGGGACAGTTCCATAAACGCTCCCTCTACGATTGACCAGGAATCGTGTTTCTGCTTTCCCGATGTAGCTTTCCACCCTAGTTTTTCTCTGTGCAGTAGTGGTCAGGTGATGCTGGAATTGGTCAGGTGATGCTGGAATTTAGCCTGTAAGGGACTTTCCCTAGATGTTTGTTGTTGATTTTTTCCCCAGAAAACTGTGTACCATTACATGTAATGTTGATTTTCTTTGAAGGGAATTCTTGACAAAACTGCAGAACCCCCAACTTGCGAAATCCCTGGGTTAATGTTTGGAGGAGCTGTTTGAGCAGAGATGAGTTTTGGTGGCAGGAGTGATGTGGGAGGTGGCAGTATTGTAGCTGGGCTCCCTGGGCCTCTGCACTTGCCCTGCCTCCTTCCTTCCTCCTGAGTGATCTGCCCACTCCCAGGTGGGGGCTCTCAGAGGGGATGGGGTAATCTGTATGGCTGACAGGAAGGCCAAGCCCCTGGACACTGGGTAGTGGACGCTGACTGACAGATGAAATCTGCTAATTTTCCTTAGTACTTGGGACCTTCGCTGCCTTCTGGGAACCGTGAACAGTGCCCTAGGACTACCCGCCTCGTTGCCTTGAGTCTGTTCTTCAGAAACAAGATTAAAGGCTATAGTTTACTGTACACCCAGCCCTGTCTGTGCCGCACGTGTGTGCCAGAGAGAGGGCTGTCGTCCACTTTATAGGTGAGGCAGTGGGAACGCAGATTGACTGGAGGCCCAAACCTGGGTGGGAGGTGCTTGGCACACCCCTTTTTGTTCTGCCCCTCCCCTGGGGTAACTGCAAGGTCAGGTGCTTTCTGAAACAGTTCCCTTTCTGTGTTAAAGGCTTATCTTTGCGCAGTGCAACCCTGACATGGCTGTGATGCAACACTGCAAATTAGAGCCCTCTGTGAGATCCCTTTCACACGTTGAGCAACGCCTGACTCACAGCCGGTGGGTTTTTCTAGATGACCTTGCCGTGGTGGTTAGCGTCCGTTCCGAGATGTAAACGGGATTGCAGCACGGAGTGGAAAAGGTGTAGTCACAGTGTCTGCGCCTTATTTTTACCCGACTTCAAATCACACATACTTCATTATTTCCATTGTGATCCAGATGGCGTGGATGCTGCTCCACGTGGTTTATTTTTAATTTGGACTGAGGAGTGAGTGCACACTTGGGAGTCGATTCAGAATGTAACAGAAACAATGCGATTGAAATTTCCTTCAATATTCATTTCTTGTTTTTGTAAGGTATGCCTGTGTTTCACAGGGTAACACATTGTTTGGTATCCTGTTATTTTTCTAAATTATATTTGAGTTGATTTTTATCCAGATCGGACTTGTTGTATGAGAATGTCGAAAGAGGCTGACCTTTGATCACAGACATTACATAAGAGCTTTTCAGTTTCAAAATGAATTTTTACTACCACCACTCCCAACTATCTCTCAGATTTCTTTGCAAATAACTTTCCTGTAGTTTAAAAAAATAAAAGCTCTTTCTCATATGGTTTTAATTAGTGAGCATAAGCTTGTTTTTTGATAAGAAAGTTTAGTAGGGATTTACTAAATGCCATTTGTTAATAATCTGTGCTTTGAAGACTTCACATTCATTGGAATAAAAACTGATGTTTATAAGCCTTTCAGTGATCAGAACTTGATGTCTTTTATTAATTAACTCTATGGATCTTAAATTGTAGTTAAGTAGCCTTCAAACAAACACAAAACAATAAGCATCTTTTTTTAAAAAATCCACCCTTTGCATGAGGCACACGGAAAAGTAAATGCCACAGTTGTGAACAGAAAACTTCAAAGCCAAGAGAACGGGGATGAGTCTACAGTTGCATTGGGTCATGCTGTTTCCTTAGGAACACTGAGGAACTTTCTAGACTGTACTCCCTGCAGCCCACACCCTGGGTGTCCCCACTGCCAGCTTTCTCACAGCTGGGAGACTCGGTGGCTGTTGGTGTCCTTGAAGGCTTTACTGATCAGTTACCTTTTTAGAAGTTTCTAGAATATTATTGGTCCCCATTTGAAGTATGTGTATATTTTTAAAAATACTTGACTGTTCACTATTCCCTGCCCCGCCCCCGCCCTCTCTAGAGAGAGCAGCGCCGTTCCTCGGGCCACGCAGCGGGGGACGTGCTGGTGTCCCCGCCTGCTCGCGCGTCTTCAGAGTCCTGTCCCCTGTGCATGTGGTTGCCACTGCTGGCCTCTTACAGGAGAAGTCATGTCACACTACACCGTATTCTGATTGCTTCATTTACATCAGGGCGACAATAACATGCAACATCGCCACCCTGTTTATTAAGATGACATTCAATTCTCAATTAGTCCTTTGTTGAACTTGAAAGATCTCACTTGTGCTAAGCCGCATCAGACTTTGACACATTTGCGTACAGATGTGCCCACCTAGGAAAAGCGGGTCAGCTTGTCGCCGTGCCAGGGCACACTCTCCCTACGTGTGAGCCTGTGTGTGCATGTGCGTGTCCCTGTCTTGACCAAGCACGCAGCTCCCTAAC